CCATCCTTAAGTATCATATGCTCCGCCCCCACTCTGACCAGGAGTATTTGGGCTTTGTCTGCTGCTTCTTATTAGGCAGTGATGCTCATTTGCATAACAAGCAAGTGACTGCAAGACATGTTTATGTTTTAAGCATATATTGCCGCCACTAGATATGGCTTACTCACCTCTAGGCCCACACATAATCTGTAGACTTTTTTTTCCTTCGACATTTTCTTTGCTAATTGTGGGGGGAAATCAGTGGAGTTCTGCGGAATGGGATTTAAGAGTGTCTGTGTGTGTTTGTGCATTGTATTCGTCACATTGCGGGGACCAAATTCCCCCACAAGTATTGCAGTATGGTATATTTGACCTTTTTTGATCCCTATAAAGAAAACTGCTCATAAATCAGACAGAATGAAGTTAAGTTAAAACTATTGAGTTATTAAAAAACTATTATTTTAGAAATGTGTTGAAAAAAATCTTCTCGGGGAAAAAATGTACCGGGGGGCTGATAGTTTTGACTTTAACTCTGTTTTGTAAATCTCGAAAATGAACCGCAGACCATCTTGATTTCTGCCTTGCAACACCTCCTAACCCGTGTTTATTTTCTACATTTGGCCGAGAAAAAATAGTTGCGTTTTTCTGACTTTGGCAGAAGTGCGTTCTGTCTTCCCTCCAGCAGATTGGGTATGAGTAAGTTTTTTCTCACAGCAGACCCCACGCCCTTCCACACTCAGCGTGCACATGCATCTTCAAATGAGTCCCATCTCTGCGCCGCTATCTTCTGTTTCCTGCTGCTGGTGCTACTGATCGTTGTCTTTTTTTTCTTCTTATTTCCCCACATTGGAGTCAGTCTTGTCTTTTGAAAGTGGTTAAGAGCCCTTAAGCGATCCACTCAGCGCTGACTGCGTGTCAGAAGAGTAGTGCTCATCTTCTCCGGTCTATCGCCTACAACCTCCGCCCTGGAAACTAGGCCCTCGCACCAACATTCCCAATGTGTTGCACTCTGTGGGGTTAAGCGTCAAGCCGCAGCACTACTCCTACCATCAAGCATTATAGTACGATACACTATTTCACATATTCTGCTGACTGTTCAAACCTCAGCTATTGTCTTCCAGACGATTTGCATACTGTATTATGTGGACCGAGCTGGGTCAAGCATCAAAACAAGAAGAAAGCGACCGGCCCTGTGGCTGTCCGCTTGTGATGACGTGTTTGTGACGTATGTAATACTGTTTCCGGGTCCAAGCTGCCATTCACTTGAGTGGAGAAATCATTCGTTTATGATCACTTTTTATTCATATCGCACAGTAAAGTTAATTTTACATAAAGTCATAGTGTGCACAATAATCTCTGGGCTTGCTGCATAACAAATACCAACATTTTAACAATTTATAAAACAATGAATCACTTTCTGGCCATAGTATATTAGGCATGGACATATATATTGCGATCGGGACTTTCGAAAGTATTAAATCGCTTTGTAAACGTTTATTATTACCATTTCATGAATCTCCCCATTCAGTTGAATAGAGCGCTTGGACCCGTCACACTTAACAAGCCGATATTAGGATTTGGCTCAATAACACAGTTTGGACTTCAGTGCAGTACCAGAATCTAACACCAGTTCTAAATAAGGAAGTCAGCTTGGTTATATTACCTCGAGTGACAATGAAACGGAAGTGGCGGCACGGTGGGCCAGTGGTTTGCTCTGTCGCCTCACAGCAAGAAGTCCACTGGTTCGACTCCTGGCTAATGCATGTTCTCACTGTGTTGGGTGCTCCGGTTTCTTCCACAGTCCAAACGCATGCGCTATAGGTGAATTGATGAATGAAATTAGCCAGTTTTAATTAAATTAGCCGTAGTTGGTCAGACTTTAGTTTATTATAATCTGCTCAGCTGTCAAATGTTATTATTTTAATTAATGACGATTAGAGAAATGAGACATCATAAGCAAAAAGCTGAGCTTTCTTTTTGACACCCAAAAACATATGGCACGTTTCCACTGACTGGTACAGTATGGTACCGTATGGGTCAGTACGATTTACCTTTATCAGGCTTGCGTTTCCACTGCCTAAAGGGTACCAAGGGTTTGGTGGGTGTGGTGTCTGACAGAAAGTTTCAGTCGCTGTTGTTGTCGCTCGAGGAAATGTCAAAGTAAATCTGTACAGGTCGTTCACTTATCATATGAGAAGCACTTCTCACAAAACAGATGCTTTATACGCATAAATACTTGTGTATAAATGTTCATTACTAACCTTTCTATGAACATGATTTGATTATAACTGATACACTTTTAT